AGCTTATAGAGGATGTAAAGCCACAGGGAGATGTTACACAAAAGCTATGTCAGGCTAGGAGACTTGGTGGTGAGGGCAAAACTATAATGTATCAAGAGATTCAGGAAGGCAGAAGTGTCAGAGACACCTGCAAATGATAAAATAACTTCTCTCCAACTTGGTATCCTGTGGAGTGGCCAACAAAACATTGCAAATACATATCTAAAAGCCAACATGCTACAAATAATGTGCCATTTTTGGTGGGTTTTTTTTTCAAAAGAACTTGAAAAATCTTTCTGCAGCATTCTACCTGCTTGTGTGACCCCTGCTGAGCTGGTTGTTTGGGCTGGGTATGGTGGCATCTGTTGCTGGGAAATTAATTACTGCCATCCATCACTGGTTTCAAACAACTCTATTTTTGCTGTATACAGTGAAGAGAAGCAATTAAAGAGGGTTCTAAGCCTTAAGCAGCAGTGTGGGAAGGCAAAATGTCTGTTCTAGGATACTCAAAGTTCCAAAAATGGTCTGGTTTGGGATTTTGAAGTTTTTAATATCCAATATTCTCTCAATAAATTAGGATTACTTGAAAAAATACTTTGGTCTCAGTGGTAGTTTCCTCAACAAAGAGTATTCAATACTGGTTTGGAGTCATTAAAAGTCATCCACGTTTTTAAAGGTGTTACCCAATAAACCAGTAACTAAATATTTTCTCTGTCCCATTATTTGTGGCAATATTGCATAGGAAGGCAGAGGTAAAGGATAACAGGCTTCATCTAAGCAGGTCTTCCTCTAAAAATTGAAAACTTTTCAATCTTTACAGAGCAAGCAGCTGCTAAATTAACAAAAGCAGGAGTTCCAGGGCTGTTGCAATGAAATACAAGTGAAATTTCCTAAGAGCTGTGTCTTCCACTGTGTCTGGTCCTTTGGCTGAATACAGGTTAGACAATAAATGAAAGTTTATTCCTATGATCATAACAATCACTCCTTTTAAGGGATTACAAGATGCTAGGTTCCTCCAGCTTCTCAGGGCTTTAAATGACTAGAGAATTCAAAACTTTGGGAATTGCTGCTGAGGATCTGATACTGCAATCATGCCTCAGTGGAGGAGCTGCAAAGGGAAAAAAGACAATACAGGGAGTGCTGTCATGATGCAGCACAGCTATTCTAGCAAAAGATCAGAGGTGACATTAACAGCCCTGCTCTGACTCTTTGCCTTGGAAAGCTCTACATTTTGTTCCTGATTAAGAGTTAAAATGTGTGGTATAGAGTGCAATTATAAGGATGTCTCTTTTGTCAGAAAAGATCTCACACAGCTCTGATCAGCAATTAATATGAATCCAAACTTGCACTGCATAATTTATCATCATATCCTGGCATGTCTTCATAGGAAGAGATACCTAATTCTCAGTCTCTGTGCTGCATTCACCTCACCTGGATAATTCAACTGAGCTCTTGGTGACACTCCTTCCCTGAATGTGAGTTACGAGCTGGGTGGGTATAGTGTTCTGATAGCAGCAGGAAGCTGTCCCCAGATCCCTGTTGTACAATGGGTTCACATTCAGCTTGTGATGGAGAAGAGATAGAAAAGTCTGTGGGAAATATGGTACCCAAGACCAAGCTGACAGAATAATTCTTTCATCCCACGTGTAGTCCCTCCCCAGGAAGAGATGTAGCCTGGCTGCATTAAATGCACTTCTGACAGGAAGCACACACAAGCACTGAGGATGGTGGTCAGGGGGACCGCAGCTGCTCTGGAAGTGAGACTGGAAGTGGCAGTGTGGTTCTTCTCACAAAAAGCTAAATGCTTTTTCTTTGTTTCATGGATTTAACACTGACACAAGCAATAGAAGAAATAAAAAACTTGCTTTCTTTGCTAGCATCTGATTTGCTTTTTTCTCCATTCTCAATAGTCAGCTACATGGTAGCTAATAGCTAAAAGCTAAAACAACCCCTTTCTGGTAAAAGGGGAAATGAGAAAATTACAAGGCAGATGCAGAAGATCATATGAAATGAAAACACCAGATTTTTTTTCTCTCAAGTTAACACATGTATATTTAGATGCACTTGCAGTGAACATGTAATATACCAAACCACTACCCTCAGGTCAAATAAAAATTAATAAATAGTATTAGAGACTTTCTTCTGCAATGTTTGCCATTTCGGGGGCAGTAGCTACCCCTGAACTTTCTTTGCAGACTTCATTTGCTGTTTTCTTACTGTAAAACTATTACCATTAATAACCATCCCAGTGATTTCAACTGGAAGATAATTCAGACTGAACACTGCTTTGGTTTAACAACTGAATAGACATAAATGCAATCACTTGGGTTTATTTACTCTTTATGTCTAGAGGAATAGAGTTGTGCATCAAGGGAGGTAATGGGCCTGATTCTTCATCTCTCTCTATAACCTGCTCACATAATTTCACTGCTGCAAAATACTCAAGAGATTTCAATACCAGGTTTACTGGAAACAATCCGTATCACATATAACGTACCAGTTTCCATCCAAAATGCTGGCAGTGGTGGGATGATTCCCAGCAGCCTGTTGGGTGTCCCCACTGGCACTGCCGCTGGGGGCTGTGTGGTCAGACCCCACGTGCCTCCACGCTAACAGAATCACACCTCCTGTGCCTCCTTACCTAAGGACTTGCACCAAATACAGCCTAGCTGAATTCAAGAGCTAGCCTCAATATGTAGCTCCAGATCTCACAAAAACACTTGTACTAAGAATAATTTTCCATCATATGTGTGGTTTTCACACAGTATTAATGGATCCTGCTTCATGGCCCTACATAACCAGCTCTTTTCCAGACAAACTCCTAAGTGCTGTTCTCACTCCAGCAGAAAGGAAATAAAATAGTGTACCATCAAGGCCCATGATCATACACAGGGATACCTGGTATTACAGAAATCAAGCTGATTACAGAATGTCAGACCAACCCAGAAACTCTGTGCAGAAATAGCAAAAGAGCTTTTTGTAGAGAACCTGAAAGACGACTTTGCAAGGTTAATACAGAGCCCTTCAGGCTAACAGGCATCTTGTTTTCATTATTCTCTGCCCAGGAATTATTTATCACTATGAATTCATTGAAAAATTTTAAATACAGTAAAATGAGGAGAGCAGACTTTCAGGAAAACCTCTCCCTTTGCTACAATCTGCTCAGGAGAGAAGGGGAAGGATATTTGTATGTGTGTGTAGGAGAGAAGGAGGTTTGTGGCGGGGGAGCATACCCAAAGGAAATACAAATAGCATTTCACAGTGGAAGCATGAGTGCGAGAACACAGTATCTGTATTTTCTCTAATATTTGTGCTGGTTCCATCAGTGTATAAAGGAAAGTGAATCCTGCTAATTTAAAACTTCTACAATGACTTGCAAAAATGTAAAGAAGCTGCTATTAAAACTTCAGGGAAAAATATTTGAAAATTGATTGCCTTTTTGACATTTAAGACAAAGGGATAGAATTCTCTTACATCATCCCAACTGAAAATAAAAAACACTTTTGAAATTATAATAGCATTGTTCTAAGTATATCCTTATTTAGCTTTTAATACCTCATGATTCTAATATTTTTTAAAATACATGTTAATCTCAGCAGAATTAGAAATAATTAGAATTGAAAGCAACATCTGAGTGCAGGGCTCAGTTAGCAGCAAGTGCTTTCTCCAGTGCGGTGCCCAGTGATCTGCCCAACCACAGGTTCCGCAGAATATGAAATCAGAGAGCTGCAGTTCTGACATGAGCCTCAGAACTGATACGGTGAAGCACAAAAGATCTATTTATTGTAGTCATTCTGAAAATGCAATTACTTAGACATTGTCTTGGCCATACCACAAGTCACAAATGTTCCTAACTTGACTTCACAACCTTGCTTACAGTGAATATCATTTATCCCCAAGACATCCCTTCACTCTAGTTTGCTTAATTGCAGAATGAGGTCCATGCCATCTCTGAGTAAGACAGAACTTCAAGATAGATGTTGAAAGAAGTACAGCAGATGTTTAATGGAGAAACAGACAGATTTCTGCAGTAAAATGCATGCCGTCAAAAGTCAATAAAACTTACAAAAGAGAGACTGTATTTAACTGAGAGAATGCAAATACCCAGGATTTAAATACTGATCTGCAATTTGTAACTGCAACCCAAGAGACTAGTAATAGTGCCATTAGCAATGCCATTTAATCTACAGAAAATGGCTTTTCAGGAGAGATTTCAGTTCCATATTTTTGTGCTACACACCTTTCAGGGCAGATCTGACAACAAGCTACATGTTGGGACTGCATCATGCAACATGAGATCCCACATTCCTAATCCAGCAGAGTTTTACTCCTCAGCAGCCCCACCTTTTCTGGTAAATCTCACCTGCCTCTGCAATAGTTTCCTTGTATTAATTCAGCTTAGGAATCGAAATGAAGGGGAGAGAATAAACAAATACAAAGCTTTTAAAAATCATTGAGTGGCTTAGCCAATATTGCCAACCTAATGCATTAGATTGTTTTGTTCTATTACATTACTTTTCCATAGCTTAATTTAGATAACTGTCAGGTAAAAGTGGAAGAAACAGCTATATACAGTTAATGCAACAGAAGGTATCAACTGATTTTAAGCAGCTGGCCAAAGCAGTTAGCAGTGCATCTATCCCTTGGTTAAATTCTTCTCCTAGATCTGCGTAACACATGCATGACTGATATTTTTATCTAGAGCATTAAACCTAATGGCTGGTTAGTTGAAATATAAAACTGTTCTGAACAAATTCATGAAGTTCAGGGAGCTGGTGTAGGTCCCAGAAATACCCATCTGTCAATGCATTTTAGTGGTCTCTGCAGCCTCATACTGAAAAATCTAAAGACTGCATTTGTAAAGAGCTGGGTACATTTTAGCAGTTAGTTGGGTTTAACTATGTATTGACAGAACATTCTGAAAATGAGGAGAAAATTTGGTTTAGAATCTTAGATGCAATAGCTTAGCCAACTGCAGTAAATTTCTAACTATACTTTTTTTGTGTTTTCTTTCTCTACAGGTATACCCAGTATTTCCAGTATTGGTAGTAAGTAATAAAACCAGTCTTGTTTTGCATTGTCATTCAGCTTCTTGGATCTAATTTCCCAACATCCCTTTCTGTTGTAGATAATGTTTCTCTGAAAATGGGCTCTATGGTGCAGATGCTATGTATTGGCCTTTGTTGTATTGACATGTAACTGTATTACGTGGTCAGAGAGACCATCACTCCAGATAACACATCTGCCTTCAACCACGAATTTTCTGATCAGTTCTGATCAGCAGGTGGAAACCAAGTGCTATAAAACTAAGTTATGCAGAAAATTAAAACAGCATTCCACAGAAAATATTTGTTGAGCAACTTCTCGGGGTGGGGGAGGAAAAAAAAGTGTTTGCTAATAACAGAGAAGTACAAGACTGTTAATTTTCACGCATGTGTGTGTAAATTCAAAGAGAATATGGAAGAGTTTTCATTTTTATGAAGTAGCTTACCAAATACAGTGTATCTGATGGAATCTTTGCATTACTGCAAGCAGCCTTTAAATTGGGCTTTACTCCACAAAATAAACAGAATTGTGTTCCTTCACCAAAATCCGCTCTCTTATATGCAATTAAAGCACCAAAATATGATACTTAAGCTACAACAAAACCGTAACACCATTACCTAAAGAACTACTATATCGGTGAAAGAGATGATTAAGTAAATAAAACACTTGAAAGGACTAAGTACACAATAACTCAGCTGCGAGTCTCAGATGAGTTCCATAACAGAGAAGTGCACACAGTCATACCACGTTAGTTAATTACAAATAAAGCAGGGAGGTAAAAATGGATCCTGCTGTGGCTAACTGAAAGAATATTCCCTGCAGCCTCAGCTCTGCAGAGGCTTTAGACACAACTGGCGTGATATGGGGATATCACAATGATAAAAATATCACAGAAGTAAAATGCAATTTGCCAGACCTGATACCAAACTGAAAAGCTTCTGTTAATTTGGATAAAATTGTCTCACTTCTTATGATGCAGGGTCAGGTCTGTGAATTTATAAATCAGCTCGGTTTACTTGAGCTCATGAATGGTGCTGATTTGTTAAGCTCTAGACAGCAAGTTCAATGGCACCAAAACTAGCCTCCTTACAAAAGAGAGCAGTGTTAACAGCTGAATGCCATGGCATCTGTTTTGCAGCTTTAAATAGCGAAACAGCATCAATGACAATAATGTGCAAATGAAAGCCTTCCATCTTAATAATGTAATTTCCCTGCTGTAGTGTTGTCTTTGGTATTTGCATGACTACAAATGCATTGTGATATGCTATTTTCAAAACCTTGTGTTTATAAATTATTATTATTAATGACAATAATAAACTAAATGAAAGAGAAGACATTTATGTCACTGTTCTCAGGAATATTCCTGCCATTAATAACAGAAATTGGATGAATGGGAAAATAGCTCTTTGGAGTTTTATTGTGCTATACTTTCTTAGTACTGTGTTGCATGAACTATATGGTCGTGTTTTCACTTCACGCTCCATACAGCCTTTGTCACCACATCTACCATTTCTGAGCATCAGCAGATGTTGGCCTTTGAAAACTTAATAGGGAAACTCAATACATTTTAAACAACGGTGACCTGAAAGGATGCATTGTTGACCTCTTCGTATTTTACACTGGGGTGATTAGTACAGTTTGTCTATTACAAATGGAGAAAAAGTCTATTTAACATTCCATAGGAAATATATGCTTTCTTTTTAATCGACTGTAAATGTCTTGGAATAATACGTGGTAGAATTCAACAGATTTCTTTGCCTACCTGGAAAGGATGAAGTATGAGCATCTCTTCCTGATGAGCACAAGTAAATACTGATATTCTGCTTGGTATTCTCATGTTTTTTTTCCAAAATAGCTCAGGGGGAAAATAGCTCTACTTGCTCAATGTTCTGAACATCTTTCCTATAAGACAGAAATAGCAAAATGAATGTAAAGCAAGGATAGAACCCATAAATTTATACTGGTCTCTAAGAGAATTTAACAGAAGTACAATTAACACATAAAAACAAACAAGATTAATTACTTGTGGCTGCTTTAATGAATCTGCATGATTTCTTCTTTTGTCTATGCTAATACAATGTTTGTGTTCGTATCAGTAGAATTTTTCCCCATATGGGGACGGGGAGCTACTCTCAGGAAATATAGTTTGGGGTTTATTTTGCCTGGCAGCAAACACTAATGGGAGGAGGGGGTATTGGCTTTTGTGTGCTCCAAGCTCTTCCTAGTATATAATGAGGATGGGGTTGGGGCATGGGGTTATGAAGGCAACACTGCCAGCATATGAAGATTCCTCTGCAAGTAACATTTACTCAACACTTTTAAAACTGCAATGAAAGCAAGAAAGAAAAATAAAATAGATTTACCTATGTGCACATATATGTATCATTCTCCATTCCTTTTCGAGATTCCTGTCTCAAAGGATCTTGTATTAAAGCAGCTCTTTATTAAAATTTAAACAAAGTAACAGTGGTCATTAAGTAAACATCCTTTCTGATCATCTAGTAGAAAAAAAAATCAGAGCTTTCCCATTAAGGTCATTTGTACCTGCTGTTGTCTATCAGTTGAAAAGTAGATTCTCTGATCATTTCCAGCATTCTTGATCCCAGTGCTGGCCCTTTCAACATTTTTCAGCCATGTCTGGAAAAATACTGGTGAAAGTTTTAACAATTAATGAGTCCCAAAACCATGTCATAATTTTAATCAATGCTTACATACAGTATGTAAATATCCTGAAAACTACATTATTTTACTTGCTAAAATAATGATTGTATGATTTTACATAGACCAATGCATCAAAATGTCCATTATTGTGACCAAATACGAAAGTTACTAATCTGTACATGTATGCCTTCAAAAAGTTGCCTCTTCTAAACTATAACTTCTGTCTTTTTCCCTGTAAAGCATAACTCCACTAATTATGCTAAACAGTTTGTTATAAAGGGTTATAATTAGATACAGGATAGGATAGACATGATGTGCAAATAACTCTGTGTGGGTGATTATCACCTTAATGCCTGCTGGTGGCAGATGAGTCAGAGTTTAGAGACAGACCCTGCACCCAAGTGCAAGATGCAGTCATGATCATTAAATGGTATATTCTGCTTTGTTCTGTATGGTTTTGTTCTTCTTTATAGCCAATTTCAAATTAAGAGAACCTTTTTTTTATGATAATAAGTGCAAGACGCAAAAGTAAAAAAAAAAAAAATACTGAATGGGCACTCCTTGATTGTTTTCTTAACCTTGAGAGATCTAGTAGGTATTTTTCTGGAATTAAAATAATGTCAGGATGAGTGTAGCTTTATTTGTTTTATGTACTTGTTATGAAATTTTAATGTGGTAAATATATATCTTAAAAGATTGTGAGAGCAAATGCAAGTGGATTTTTTTTTCCCCCTCTTTTTTGGACCTAATTTTGCCCCCTTGCAGTAGCTGAGAAGTTGTCTCATTAAATTTACAGTCATGGGATCAAAGCCATTACAGTGCCAAGGTCTGGACTACAGTTTATACACAACACTCACATATGCCAGCAGGATATAAACATGCATAACTAGGCTGTATGTTATTTTTCTATTATTATCTGAGGTCAAGTTTTACAAAGAGAGCTGTGCTGTTGAGAGACCATTAAGATATTTAACTCCTTAAAACATTTAAATATTGTCTTCAGACTATATATATTATTTTGGACATAATAGCAAAATGTTCTCATTTTAATTCATTTTTTTCTAAATTTGAATTTTTAATAAATAATACTGTTAATCAGGCTCATAATCTATGGTGATCACCTTATCTAAGTCACTGATTATAATACCAACCAGTAACAGTATTTATTTCCCCTCTTTTATTTAAATACTTTGAAGGACTAGGAATTTTTCACTTTAACAATTAGATTTTCCATTATATTAAAACATTATTGGGCTAGAAGAAACTACTGGTAGCCTATGTGATGTAATGCATACATTTGAACGCTAGATCTGAAAGAAATTTATCACTCCAAATAAAAGACTTTATGAATAGTTTATTTACCAGGTAGGAGTCACAACAAAGCCAGTTTTCTTCTGTATAACTAGAATTTCACCCTTGAAGTTCAGCAAGCAGAGTGCCTATGCCGATCCCCAGCCCTGAACAGAAACTGTCTCTTTGCCAAGTGATTTCTAGTGTAGGGTCAAAAACTACCAGCACTGTTCCAGGGAGCACTGGCAGGTTCTTGGGGTGGCATTTGGGGGAGCCTTTGTTTCACTTTTTGTTTTGCCAGATCCACCAATTTGAACAGATAAGAAGAGCCATTCTCACCAGTCTAGTAGACAAGGTCACTGGAAGTTGAGTATTGTTTCTCATTCTTCATCCTAGTTTACCTTCACCATCTTGGTTTAGTTAAAAACAGTGTATCGATCAAATAGTCTTTTCAACACTTTTATGATTTGCTGTAATATATGTGAAATTACTTAGTTAACAGTTACCTTTGTTTTAACCAGTAATAAACAATCAAGTGATAGCACACTAGAGAAAATGAGATAGCAACATTTCCATATATACCACGGTACCCATGCAGAACACATTGCACTTCCAATATGCAAGTTTAGCTGCAGTTACTCAAGAAAGTTTATAGAGAGCAGATACGATTCACAAAGATACTTAAAAATCTAATTATCAAGGTTGGAGAGAAATAGCTGGGAAAAAAAGCACTGCTATATTTTTCCCTCTCTTGTTTTTCTTTCTGTCCCTCAGATATGTAGTCAGTTTATTTCATAGAGTATAAGGGAAGAATAAGGTTTCCAAATCAGCATCCTGATTCTTTAAAAAGGCTCTTGATTTACTGTTCTTCATCAGTTGAGAATTACTGTACAGTAGTCCTCGTCAAGCAGCCAATTTCAGCATATTTGTAGGAAAAAGCAACCAATCAAAGTAGAAAGAAAAAACACTTACAAACTATCAACAGAATAATTTACTTTTTTTGCCCTGAGAAAGTACCTAAATATTTCCTTCCAAAATATTAGAATTTATT